TCGACCCTAGGGTACCGTAGAGCCAGAACAACGACATTGAATTGCTCCAGAATTTGCGGGAATCTGGGGCATCACCTCTACCGCCTGTTTTTGATGCCATTCCCCGTTTCCGGAATCCCTCCCCTTATCGAGCTACAAACTTTAGGGGGTCTGCGTATGGTGGTTGGACAATTTTTTTCTCGGGAAAGCTGTGGCTCCTGGCACTTGGGCTGGGTATGTTGTTGGCACATCGTAGCTCTAACAGGGAACCTCTTTCCGCAGTCAGTTCTAGAGTTAAATAGGGCAAAAACGTAAAAAGGGTTATTGTAGATAGAGTGGCGGGCTGTTTTTTTAAAGACCAAGAGGTATTCGGGAGATTGGATGGGTCTGTATGAATATACAGACTTCTGAGATAGAACGTTGGGGCTTTGGGTGCGCTCAAATTAGCTGTTTGTTGGTGAGCCTGACTGCTACCGTTGGCGATGGTTTATGGGGGAGGAACGCGTGGAGAAGTTTGTGAGCACTGAAAACCAGCGTGTGTTGCCGCCATTTCCACAACATCATGACCTGCGGATTCGCGGATTATTCTACATCTAGACCACCCTCTCTTTCGCATCCTAGATGCTCGTAAAATTGCTTAATAGTTGAATACAACCTGCTCACATTCTGCACCGTAGCTGAGCCCGGACTGCGAGGGTGTTGGACAGGGGTATTTGGTGTGCAAATGAGAACTCCTCAAAGTGGGGAAGCAGAGGATGACTGGTTCGTGATGCAGTTTCGTCACGCGCCAAATTTCGCCGTGGGCACGGTGGGGAGTGTATAAAGCGAATGGGGGTTCACTATGGCACCTACACCTGTGCCGCCCTTGAAGCTCTGCCGCGGCACTGTTTGGTCGGGTTCAGTATTCAATGTTAGCCTATCCCGGTCGACTTGGCCTTGAGCTGTCGGCAGTCTTGCAATAGAGTGCCTCGTATTCAGGTTAGTGAATTTTCTGGGGATCAGGTCTCCATTCTGGTTAGACCGCTACTAAGTATATCACATTTCCGATTCATCTGCTTGGTTTTGATCCATAGCGGCCAGATGCCGGCTTATTAGCATATCACATATTTCTATTGAAGACCCTGCACGTTCTCTTCCTTACCAATGCACTCCTTGTCGGTGAAGGTGTTGATTTGTCATATCTGCGGACACCCTGTGTCCATCATTCGAAGGACATGTTGGCTGTTTGGTGGATTTTGGAGAGTGGGATCATTACACCCTTCTTGCGTCACCAATACCTCCCAGTTCCTTCTATTCGTGATGAACTATTGATAATATTTTTCTCAAGCGTAGTGGCAGCTCTGTTGGACCTTAGAGCTTGGGTCGCGTTTTCAGCACATATTTTGGAAAGCTATGAAGAAAGAGGATATAATAAGAAGCGGAAAGAAAATAACATCACTGCCTCTTGATCCTGTGGTTTACCCCTCCCACAACCCCACTTAGACGCTAGAAGAGAAGGAAGTAGTCAACATTAGTGGTGAGATATCGACGGCAACCATGCAACCTAAGAGATGATCCTGGTCGTATCGTGGCCGTATCGTTGCCCTTTTTTCATGTGTCGGCTTGAGCTCCTACTCCTCAAGGTCAGCGTTAAGCAGATACCGTCCACACGTATCACCACGAGCTCAACTCCAATGGGGACTCCAATGAGGAATGTAGGTACGGAGGGCATGAGAGCGTAAAATCGTGGCATTAATTCTTGCACTCTGCCCTCACCGCGATTTGCGGATCCCGAACGTGCTACAAGTATGGAAAACAGGAATTCGAAATTACTATTTCTGCGCACAACGTTGGTGGGAGGCGTGACACGGTCGGTGCACATGCTTTCCTTCACCGATCCCGCGTGAGTGTTAAATTTTCTCATGTTTTTTCTTTATCTATCAGTGGTATCTATGAAATCTGGAGTTGGCATAATTCCCGCATACTATTCGACCCCCATCAGTGCATGCACTTGGGAAGAGTCAGTTTCAGGCCCCGCACAGTCTTTCAAGGCGGGAGCCGTAATTCAGAGGTTGAATGGTGTCACTCGATCCGTTCTAGATTCGAGTAGCATCACACTGATTGCCTAGGCCCCTGCTCTGACTGCAGAGCTCGTATTGCTGTGCCTTTACGAACGGTATGTGGTGGAGGTTGGAGGAGGGGAAAGCAGATATTATTACGATAAGACTTGATTGGCAGATAAAATTGTGCAATACCCCTTCAACTTGTATGCTGTGAAACTGGTAACCCGTTCGGGTTGGCTAAGACAAAAGGGAGCTTACGTGGAGAGAGAATAGGTTGTGATAGGTGTGGTGGACGTTATCATGGGACCAGGGGTAGTGGGGGTTGCATAATATGGGAGTATCGTATCATAGCTTGCCACCTTGGTTTGACCAATTTTATGGGAGGGCATAATGGTTCGAGGTCGGGGTATTGACACTTTCTTTTGACTGCAATCACCTCTGGAGTAGTATGGTTTACATTCCCTTGCCCCCGTCACACACACTCCAGTTACCATCTGCCGAATGCTAGCGTTGGTGTAAGGCGTTATGCGGTGGACCCCAGACCTCCCATACCCCCCCACCTCATCTCCGAAATGATATACTTGGAATGGGAGTGCGTCAACTTCATGCGTGGGACTGCAGGTGAGTGGTCACTTGGACTCATTGGATCGTCGACTCAAGCGAATCGCTCCTGGGAGTATATTCCAACCTTTACAATTCGAACTGGGAAACAAAAAGGGGATTAAGATTGCTCGTCCTTTGTGACCGACTTGGGACCTACGAGCGCACTCCTTTGTTGCTAGACATGGTGCCATACCCACCTTGAAGCAGATTCTTTCCGGTGAGACCCAGGAAATGCGACTCACCATGCCGCGGGTTCACGGTGTAAGCCCTACAATGGAGTTTCATTTTTCACTCTCGCCGTGAGAGCCTGGAATGTGGGGACACGGAAGATGGAACTGTTTCTAAATACGCACAATATATAAGTAGGGGTTCGGAGATGGTGTATTATCTGATAAGAAATAAAGTACAGTTGTAAGGTTCGGAATGCGTGGCCGGAAGAGAGGCTGCTCAAAGAGGTAATAGTATTTCACATAATTGCCACGAGATTGGAAGGCAGATTTCATCCCCCTGAATAGATCGGTTGGCGCTAGCGTCTAGCACCTCTTTGCCACACCTTGTTTGCACTTGATGGGGCGTTCTAATTACTACTAGATGGCAAAGTAGGGGAGGATCGCGAAGGTAAGGCTTGCACCTTATTCCGAGATGCGTCTTATCCCAGGAATTCTCCAGCATAATTACTCAACTGGCGGCAGCAGTAGTACAATGAGTACGTATCCAAGTGCCTGGTGCTGACACATATGTGGGAGGTTGTATTGCCACCGAACGATGAGATTGATAAAGTAGCGATTGATAACCTAAGGCCAACGCGGACATTGAGGCGTTTGCTGCCTGACTATGGGAGATCAGATCACGTACTGAATAGCTCCGGAATGTCGAAAAGAGCAAAGGGATTCCTAGTAACCTCATCCGCTTCGAATGCAAGGCGTTCGCGATGAAAAAACACTGAGTACTCAGGTATAGTGGAGGTTCGGAGAGCTCCGGAGTCCGGCTATTGGTCATATCCTACGGTAGTATCTTGGGTTTCCCCTGGAATAGTGGTGGCATCCTGATCGCTGGGAAAACGATTAGCGAGTTGAATAAATTATCCGACGCTTGCATGTTCAGCTCCAGCCTCACGTCATAACCGAGTGATATTGTATGAGCGCGCCGCGCTAGCGCAATCGCCACACGAGAGCCGCAAGGGGAAAAAATAACCGGATTGGTTTAGTAACCCTGAACTCCGGGGGCGAAAACATCTATCAGAACTTGCGTGTGCAGTTGATAACACACGGGTTGGGATGCGTAAGCTATTCAGTAGTCATACAATAAGGGCAGGGGAAGAGGCGGTAGGCAACAACTCGGGGATTTGGTGGTGGGTGTATTGTTTTCCTTCTTTTTTTAGTTACCCCCAATTTGTTGAATCTATATCTTTTTGAGTGCTAATTAGCCCTGCTTTACCACCCGGCAGCTCAGCTTGCCCGTTGAGGAGCGCAATGTGGAATGCAGGTTGCGTGGGGCGGGGAAACGATGGCCGACCGAACGAATGGCTAAGGAGCATAGGGTTTATTGTCGGATGATTTAACGGTCCGAATATTTACGGTTGCTTCGTCATGCTTCGCTTGGGGGATATGGGTTGTCGCAACGCGGTTACACGCCAAGATGGGATTTGGGTCTTGGCGATGCTGTCTCGAGTATATTACGTACTTTTACAGGTTAAGGTAAGCTTAATTGAGCTGGGTGGGGTCGGTAGCCCATGCAGTCACCTATCCTGAAAGGGAATTAGCAAGCGGCGGGTTGGTGGGGGTGGCCGGGAGAAATATTTTTCTGCTTTTTCTTCGTCGGGAGTAAGGTTCTCCCGCGATGAGTAACGCGGACAGGAGAATAGAATGACAGGGGGCGGCCATGCTCAACTCACATGCGGGCGCGGGGGTGAAGGAGTAAGTCACCAATTCTTGGCCAAAATCTTTATTCCTCCTGGTCACCCGTGACCGGGACTTGATCCTGTGTCACCTGGCTTCTGGTTGACTACCCCACGTCCAAGAAATCTGTCCTTGAAAAGAAATGGTAACGGAGAAGAAAAAAAAGAAAGAAAGGAATGATCCTCGTATTCAGGCAACCCTGTGTTCGCATGTGCATTACGAACCCTCGTATTGAGCGGGGCGCGTGGTGGGAAATGTGCAATCTTGAACTGTGCTTCCTTCATTGTTTTCCTGGTAATTGGGGCTCGGTTGCAAACGATCCCCAGGGCTTCCGCAGTTGGCCGGTATCGCAAACTTCGTCAATGGCCCATCCTTCGGACTGGGTTACGGGGGTGACATCTTTCCGAGGAGCGGTGGGGGATGGAGGGCATAAAAGGGCAAAGGGATCTCCATTGTTTTCTTTGACAGTCCAGCCTCACGAAGCTTATATCGAATAGCCTGGTTCTTTGAATATTCTTACCGCTCAACCTCTCAGCTACTCAATCACTGCCACAAAACCGAACAAAAAATTTCAACATGGCCACCATGAAAGCCGTCAAGCACGAACCTCAGGGAAGCCTCTCCATCGTTGAAGTTCCAATTCCGGATATCAAAGAGGGTCAGTACCTCGTCAAGACAGTCGCAGCAGCCCATAATCCAATCGACAAGTAAGTTCTTCTCGCCCTCACGATACTCGATTGCATACGCTGATGATCGAAACCAGTGATATCATCGACTACGTAAGATGCTTTTTCTCGTTCCTGCCCACAACTTGCTAACCAAAGATAGGGACTTGCTGGTGGCCCTGGCTCCTCCATCGGCTTCGATTTCGCCGGAATCATCGAACGGACTGGCCCGGGAACCTCCGGTCGCTTTTCTCCGGGTGACCGAGTCGCCGGAATGGTTCATGGGTGCAATACCCATACTCCGACTGAAGGGGCATATCAGGAATACATTCCGGCGGAGGAACACATAATGTGGAAGGTTCCGGAAAACATCGATCTTAAGCAGGCTTCAGCACTTGGCGCCGCGGTGGTGACCTCGGCCTTGAGTCTTTATCATGAGTTGAAGGTTCCAGTCCTGGGAGAGGGTAAGGTAGATGAGGGGACTTGGGTGAGTGCTCTAACGCGGGTATATATTGAGTGAGCGATCTATGCTGAAGATTGGCAGTTGTTTGTTTATGGAGGGAGTAGCTCGGTTTCACAGGCTACTATTCAACTTGCGAAGTTGTCTGGGTTTAGGATCGTTGCTACTGCGAGTAAGAGGAATCACGAGTTGGTCAGAAGTCTCGGCGCCGAGTACGTTTTTGAGTACAGGGATATAGACGAGTGCATCAAGAACGTTAAATCTGTGGTCGGGGATGATCTTCGGGTGCTCAAACTCCGCCTTGCCGTGTTTCCACCCTTTTTCGCTAACAATGTTTAGTACGCACACGATAGCATCTGCCAGGGTGATTCCACCAGGATTGTCCTTGACTGCATTAGCTCTAGGGTAACCCTAACCCATTTTCCACATTAGGCATCATCGCAACTAACTTCTGTGAAAAGGGGGGTAAGGTTTCCTGCACGGTCCCCGTCCCGCCCGAGAAGGTCACCAGGACGGACGTTCAAATGCTCAGCATCGACGCCTTTGCTATTCCCGGCCTGGTATCCCCCCCTCTAGAAGTTCAAATTTCTGCTCCAGGCTAACCGCATCAGGCATACTCCTTCATGGGAAACGAATACCCTGCCGACCCCACCTCCAAAGCACTCATTAAGAAGTTCTCGCCCATCTTCGAAAGGTTGCTTGCAGACGGGGCATTCAAATTGCAGGGCATCAGGGAGATCCCCGGGGGCTTGGAGGGCGTCAAGGAAGGGTTCGCGGAGATCAAAGCTGGGAAGGCAAATCAATTGAAGTTGGTTTACGTGGTTTAGGGTGATGTGTTTTGTGCCCTCCTGATATGGAGCATGCATAAGTTTGTGGATTTTGGGGTGGGGGTTGCGGGTTGCGGTTGGGGGGTCGCGATTTGTTTGGTAGTTTTTATGAATTGATGATTGGAATTTTGAACGGCTGCGATGGGGATATCCCTGAGACCGGATATCAGCGTCATAGCAATGAGGTGTTTTCAGAATTGTGTACCCTCGACTATTGTACCGCCGTTTGTTTTGCGTATTGAACATACCTGAAGGGGGAGAACCTCCGCCCGCTCTGTAGACTTTAGGACTATTCACCAAATGGCCGAAGAGACTATCCAATCGCTGTGCATGCTCAAGCAAGTATTCCTTCTCGCGTGCTATGGTAGCAAAGTACTCCAGTGACTCGGCATGACATGCCATACCATGTCCGAACACACCCCCAAATAAAATGTGATAAGGTTCCTTATCGGAGGGCACAACGTGCCCTTCTACTTCCACGCAATGGTCGGGGATCTGGATTCCAGCTTTAATTTGACATGTCATTGTTTTCTTGCATCGAGTGCCTAATATCCATGTGTTGATCTGCTTACACGAACTTGATTGCTGCTGTTACCAGTTGCGCTGTATGTGTATCGTACAGGGCGGAGCCCCCGTGGATGCCGTTCCGGCCACACACTACCGGTATCGCCCGGCCCTTTATCGCCGGGGTTTTGGAGGTGCAAGTTGGTGGGGGGTTTAGCCACTCTGTGATGCTCGTGTGTGGTAGTTTTCGCGCGGCGGTGCAACTGCAGTAGCGAATTGCGGTTTCTCGTCTATCGGGGTGGGGAGAGGGGGGGGGGTGGCAATCGACCAATCAGGCTGTCCGTTGTGTCGGAGGTTCTTATTGGGCGGTCGGCTGTGGCGTCAATACTGCCAGGGTATCGTAGCCAGGAGGAGCCGCACCGCCTCACAGTGGGCGGGTCGTGCCATCTGGCCGATCGTAAAGGGGAATCAGAAATATCGCCCGTTGAATTTCCGGGGTGCCCGCCTGGTCAGGTCAGTCAGTACTTGATGTACTGTTCATAATGAATAAATTGACTTTTTTTTTGTAACGCACACAGCTCATTGTGAGGCTAGTACTTGTAAAGGGTCACCGTCTACGAAAAATTGGTTGAGGACGGAACATGGCGCCCGGGAGTATCTGGTCATGTTCCAGAAAGTGGTTTATAGTCGATGGTTTCTAGCAGTGCGGTTCGGTGCTGAGAAATATCCGGTAGTCTCCCGATCACTGGAGTCGCCAAAGATAGGTTTATGGTCGCAAATATCCGTCATGCGGCGCGATCCAGATTTGAGAAGCGTGCGGGTATCGTATTAATTTTGAAACGAGTGATTTAAGTACTAACGCCATGGGGGTATCCTAGCGAAGGTTAATCAGAAAGTGGCGAAGAGAGGCAGGTGAAAAGTGCAAATTGTTCATAGCGCCAAGTGAGGGAGGAGGGGAATAGGGACTCACCAGCGTCTAAGAGAGACCGTTGATGCATGAAATCCCCCTGATCGGTAACTTCTTGTATGCCACGGGAATCCCGTCCTTCCCTACGGTAGTGTCCCGCGTCGACACCATGTCCGAGAACCCACACCCCAACCCCGCACTGCCGCATGTCGTCCCGGTGCTTTTATAGCCACCACACCGCATGAGCTCGAATAGTTGGAGGCGTGGGGGGGGGAAGGCGGTGGAACTTGGCTCCGTCGGCTCGGTGTATAGCCGGGGGGGGAGGCAATGGTGGTCTTTCGATTCACGCGGGAGGTGGTTGGATAAGAGCTGTCAAGTCGATTGAGGAACATGAGGGGGCGATTTCCAGTCCTCAAGTCGGTCGCCCGGCTCTAGCGAAGCTTTCTCCTCCCGAAAGAGTTAGTTAGCACCGTAAACCATCATGATCGCTACTCCATGTGGAAGGCAAGGGATATCCACCGTTTTATTTTTTAGGTTTGGCCACGAAAATCGCTCAGTGACCTTGGGGGGTGCTCAAAGCCTGGCCAGGAATTTATGGGTGATTGGCCGTACCAAATCCCAGCTGAATCTAGGAGTCGCCGTTGCCAATCTACTTCGAGGACCCCTGCTTTCACGACACATCTTAAGGCTGCATTCGGGGGGGAGCCCGGACAACGTGAGAGTGAATCCCTAATCACCTCTCACGTTTTTGGATTCGTGTGGAGTGCATGTGGTGTGTTTGGGGCATAGGATCACTACACCGCAGTTGAGCGGGGGGTTTAGGGGGTGACGAATCGTCCCTGGAGACCTGATGGGAACTGAGCCTACTATCGTGTTTTTAAATAATATTTCTCAATAAAGTAGTTCAATCTTGTCGCACACAAAAACTGTAATTTTGGTTTTCTTTGGCCGTGCTGTCACGAAACATGTGTCTTTTCCGGGCCCTCTGGTGAACTGGTGAAAGTGGAGTCTCGCAATGATATCGTGTTGGCTCTATGCCTTCGACCAAGCTTTATTTGTCTTCGTTGTGGCGGTCCGGCACCTATCTTGCTATTGGCCTGGCACCTACAATACGGGACGGGGGCGGGAAAGGATGGACAGAGCGGCCCTGATATATCACTACCGGCGGCACGCGGGGTCTCATGGGTCGTGTACGGATCCGGGGTCAGTGCGTTTAACGTATAGCAAAGACTTGACCAAAGTAAAGTGGAGCGGGACGACACGAAACAAATGTTGATACCTGGTCGGCGATACAAAGATATTGAATTATATTGAAGAGTGAACTAAAAAAAAACACCACTACCGAGCTCCCACTAAATGCTGATCTCCTGAATCTAGATTCACTGCGGCCGGGTGCGTTCGTCATGCCAACCGGATGAGCCGAGTATCCAATGGAAGCCAATGTTGCAACATTATGCCATAAGGCCGTGGACTAACGTGGGCCACCGGGCCACAGTGGGGGGCATTAGTACTCGGTGATGAGGGGAATCATCAGAAATGATTCGATCGGAGGCGTCTCATTGAATTGTTTTGGGGGGGGATGCTAGGACATTTGATTGCCTATTGCCGTCGAGGGGGGGGCTCTTGCCACGCAGTTGAGATTGAAGCAGACCCGGGAGCACTGCCGGCGTGTTTTGGTCTCAAATCTTTGACTCCCAATTCCTCGAGGGTCTTTGTTAGGAAAGCCTCCGCCGCTCGAACAGCGGCAAAGTTGGAGTAAATCTATAGAGTGTAGATAAGATATTGATTGGTGGAGACGTCTGTTGGATGGGGGAACGAATTAGAGGCATGGAACCGATACTGTATTACCGAGTGCTGGGGAGTTGGGTTTACCAGTGTTACCCAAAAGCTGTAGTGCAGTATGATAGTTGCCTCCGAAGAGCGTACCGGTGAGGAGGACCTGGACCCGCTGCCTGTTCCCCACACAAAACAACACCAACAAAGGAAATACATAGAGGTAGTAACAGACCAAAAAGGTCAGTGGGGCCTATCTCGCATCCCTGGTACCTTGCCCCTCCCGCTGTACCTAAAACCAAACCAAAGAAACCAAACAAACCCAACAAAACCCAGCACGCAAGACCCAAACAAGACCAACCAGGTGGTCCCAACCTACTATCCACTCAGGTGGCCATCAGCCAACCGGTCCATTGGGGAGCTTTGCAGCACTCAGCAGCTTCACCAAACAGCCCTAGCTGGAATGGAAACACTTAATTAGACCTGACCCAACCTGATGCAGGCCTGACCAGTACTCGCAGGTGCCTCTTCCACCCAAGCATCTCCCCCCAAGCCACACACATCAGATGTCACAGAATCCATCCAGTCTCTTCAGTCCCTCAGATAGATCAACCATCCGACAACCACAGGACAGTCTATACCCAGTCCCATCAGGTAGCCACTGGTCTTGGCCACACCAAGAGAGGCCCAACTCCCGATATTAGGTTGCTGGGGGGGACCCACCAATTACAGCTGGGAGCTACAATAGAGTTAGCACCAATACCCAAAGGTACTGGCACCAGCCCCACAGCCAAACATTGGTGAACCGAAGTCTAACCAAGGTGGAAAAGAGTAAGTACAGCCAGCCAAAGCCAGCCCCACAGGTCCAGCAACAGGTACAAACCAAATGATGGGCAAGATGCGCCTGCAACCGAGGCTACCAGGAGGAGGAAGGCGGGCAAATAGAAGCTGAAAAACAGAAGGTAGATACCACTTGCAATGGGTAAAGCTGCCAACTACAATACACAAGCGAAGCACCTAAACTTACAGACAACGTGAGTGTCTGGCAGCCAACTGTCCCATACTACATCAGGCAACAACAGTAGCCATCCAGAGGGTAAGATCTTTCAAGGTCAAAGCTATTCCCACCAAAGCAAGGAGATGACACCTGACGAAACTACCTTAAATGCCACAAGGACAAAACTCCAAGGGAACGGTGATAAACAACATCGTAAGATTCCGACTGTAGAAATGTATTGTAACCAGGAAAGGCTGTGTAACCGGTACAGGTACTTGATTATTGGTTTTGTTGTATGTTTTGTTTTAAGTATCGCTTTGATACTTGGTTTGTTTTAAGTATTGTTTGATACTTGGTTTTGTTTTATGTTTTATTTTAAGTATCGCTTTGATACTTGGTTTGTTTTAAGTATTATTTGATACTTGGTTTTGTTTTATGTTTTGTTTTAAGTATCACTTTGATACTTGTTTTTATGTTTTGTTTAAGTATCATTTTGATACTAAATTAGTTTTATTAAGCTGTATCGATTGATATCTTTGATTAGTTTCATTCATGCTAGACATGAACAGATTTATGTACTTAAAGACCGCCTAATTCCATGATGGAAAAGGCAGACTTCAACAGACAGTATTTCAATATACTTGGTTGAACAGTAATGTCTTTGTTCCTCAGTACACCCTCGAAGCCTTCTTTAGTTTTCAGCACTCGCCTCCACTCTGGAAGAGCAGGCTATCGGCCAACTATTGTATCATTCCTGATAACGTGATTAGCACCTTGCAAGCACGTTACAGGCCGGGTAGGTACCGCCCCGTCACCTGGAGATTAATGTGGCCAGTACCATGTGTTGAAGCTTGGAAAGGTCATCAGTCTATCCCAAGGATATTAGGTATTGTCAGACCTCATAACTCCATTAACCTAACAAACATGAGCTGGCCTAAAAAACAACATA